CATAAAAACCATACAGGGCCACTTATGGGATCGCTTTCCCTGGGCGCAGAAGCTCGCCTCCACTCTTTTGGGTATAGTCCTTGTCATGGAGGGGGCCGTAGTGGATTGGCAGAGTACACGCTTGGCTTGCTGAGGCCTTGGGTGGCCCTGGGCCCTGGAGAGCTGCCGTCCGCCTGGAGGGTTACGGCTCCTCGTCACGAGGGCTGTATATTTTATAATGTGTGTTTTAATTAAGATTGTTTTATATGGATATTTTAACTTATTGTTTTATCTATGTTGTAAGCCGCCCCGAGGCTTTGGCGAATGGGGCGGCATAAAAATGTTTTAATAAATAAATAAATAAATAAATAAATAAATAAATAAATAAATAAATATTTCCTCCAGTACTGGCGACAGAATTCCTCGGAGAGACCCATCCCAAGATCTCTCACTACCTGAGGTGGGGGGCATCCATTTTGGCCCCCCTGTGTTGCTTTCAAACTGCATGTCGTGTTGGGCGTGTCGTGAGCAGAGCCGGCTGGTGCCGGAGGTCAGACTAGATGGCCCGGGAGGCCCCTTCTGACTCGCTCTGTTTCTGTGTTTCTATGCTCTCCCAAGGGCCTCATGGCTGTGCTTCACTTATCCCGGGGTAAACTGAGTGGTACCATGCGGAGCACTGTTTTGGCCCAGAAGAATATTTTGAGCATGAATTAGGGTGGTGGGTTTTCGCCCTTTTTTGCGTGGGGTGGAGACGCTGGAGGAGGAGGAGAAATGACTAGACAGATTCAATAGGGAAATATATCAGGCTAGGGAAGGTTGTGAAGAAGGTTCTCGGGCCGTCGGGCAATGCAGTAAAACAGTGAAAATTGTTGCCTGTCGATTTCACTGCAAGTGATGTACGGAGCTGAGTTTACCCTTTTTTAAAGCAGCGACTGGTGATGATTTTATTTCGATATCACTCAATAGCTGAAGCTCTCTGGGCCATTTACAGTAACACATAAAATTCAGAACCTAATGCAGACAACAATAAGAGCATCATAAAAAGTTCGCAGAGAAAGTTTAAAGAATGAAATGTTAAAAAGCTACAAAAGCGTATACAAATTGAATCATCAGCTCTGTTTAAGCCGCTAGCAGAGGTCCGGTATAATAGTAAACTAAGTAAGTGCCCTTAACTAGAGGAGAGTCTTAACGTGGCACCAGAAAGATGGTAAGGCCTCTATGGGGAGCTTGTCCCGGAACTGGGGGGCCGTCACTTGCTGCCCCCAACCAAGCCTCCCTTGGAGGGGACAATCAGAGGCAGGCCCTGGATTGTGATCCTACGGTGTGGAGAGGTCTTCCGTCCAGGCCATGTGATGCTTTATCGGTTAAAGTCAGCACCTTGAAAGCCAGTGTAAACAGGCTGGAATTGGTGTCACGTCTTCAGACTGTCTGGTCCCTGTTATAAAGCTGACTGCTAATTTTTCTGGCAGGCAGAAATCCAAATGATGATGTTCAGTGGGAAGGCTGCACCTGTTGGGTTTTCCCGGCCTGCTATGAAGTGGCTTGAAAGTGCAGTTTCTTTAAAGGGAGCAGGTGCAGCTGTAGGGTGGGGGTGGTTCTAGTTGGCCAGGCTGTACTCAAACATCTTAATTGCAACCGGAGAGAAATGAAGAAAACTGAAGTGGCTCCCAAGGAGATATTAGAAAATCCGAGCTGAAAATGAGAATGATTTAATGTCAAATGAGACAAATGCCGAGTTGATACTCCAATGCCTCACGCTTCCACTTGTCCTTGGCACTGAGAAAATGAGATTTTTAATATCGGAAAAACAGATTGCCACGAAGGCTCATCCATTGTAAATTTGAGCTGCCTTTTAGAGCGGCTTTTAAGCTGGGGATTGGATTGTTCATTCCGTTCCACGGTTGCTGCTACCATTTTCATACTAATATGCAATTTCTCTCCCCACCCTTCTTTGACTTTACCGCACCAAAGAAAGAAGAACTTCCTTCTGGGTTTTGTGTGTGCACATTTTGGCCTCCTTTGGCCCCTTCCCTTCTCTCCCCAACCCCCCTTTAACAAGTTAATTTCATTAATGAATAATGCAGACGGGACAAAGGTTTGTCAGCTTTAACCTCTGCATTAGTTATAGAGATTAATGACACTTGCTGTTCTGGCTGGGTAATGCTAGGAAGGCAGACTCGGGCGGCACATGCCAGGCCAGAAGGCTGAAGACCAGTGTTTTGGTTTTCCAAACATCCTCACGTGAATCCAGCAGTTCTCATCGGCTGCATCCTTGCCGTTCTCGAACCAAACCTTACAATAAATCTGGGGCTGCAGACCTGCTATCCAGTGCAGATAAATGTTTGAAAGTTTGCCCTCCAAGTTCGAACCCTGCATCTCTGTCCTCAGCACGGTGGTGTGGATTTCTGGGAAAAATTTCCAGAAAAAAATCCCAGAGCAAATTAGGTTCATTTGCATAAGAGTCATAGGATCGCATTAATTAAATAAATCTTGCTGCTGCACCTTACTGTTCCTTATATTGCACTGTGCTGTTATGCTAATCCAAACGAGCTTTAATTAAGGTGATTTAAATATGTATATATGGAATCTTGGAGATGTTATTCTGTTAAGCAGTATAGAAGTATCAGAGATGGATGGATGGCTAGACGGGCAGGAATTTTTCAGTTTATACCAGGAGATGTTGCGACGGCAGTCGTAGGCCACAATGTCGGAACCACTCAAGTGGCCCGCCCTTTCTCTTAAGAGATCAGATTGAGCAGGTCTGTTTCGGTTGCATTCAATATGCAAAGCTCTAAAAAAGCAGTCTGTATGCTCATGTAAAGTGTTGGTTCCATGCACCCAAAATATTTGAAGAAAAAAATGAAAGCACACAATAGCAGTTTTTAGTAGAATATCGGCAAACTCATAAAGTCAGTGGAATATACCTCCCATAGCCAGTTTAAACTAGAGACAGGCAAACGTACAGCAACTGTTGACATATTAATACACGTTAGCAACCCAAAAATCTGTGTGTGATATGCTGACAACCCCTCATCTATTTCCGTGGAGTTCAACTCTCCTTCACTAAGATTGTTGGAAACCTTTAGTTTCACTGTCACTATTTATTCGTTCCATTTCACTCGGAGACATATATAGATAGATAGATTCCAGTGACCTGTGTATTCTCCCACATACATGCTGGGGAATATTCCCTTGAAAAACATAATTACAGCTTTGAAACTGTCAGGCTTGCCTAATACTATATTTGCAGTCGGCATACATTCATTTCAGCTAATAAATTTATCAAATAGGTTTCTTTCTGTGGAAAAAAGCGAAGCACCAGAAAACTTTCTGGCTCCGTGCCATAACAGGCCTTTGTCTGCTTTTCCATGCTGTCCCACCTCCAGCCCGAGTTTTTCATCCCTTAAAGATGGTGTAACATTAATTTGCTTCACTTGTTTACAGTTCCCCCAACAAATAGTTAAGCCAGCTTCCACAACCTGTGGCCGTCCAGAGGGCTTGGACTAGAGTCCCCATCACTCCCAGCCAACACGGGCAATTCAGCGCATCTGGGGGCACCAGGCTGGGGAAGGAGGAATTGCGGTCTTGCAAACATGGCACACCCTCGCAGTTGTTCAGCCGGTGTCCAAGGAGCTGCAGCACAGTGACCAGCTTGTAAATCTTCCAAGAGAGCCAGGGTGGTGTGGTGGTTAAGAGCATGGGGCCGGGACTCAGGCGATCCGGGTTCGAGTCCCCACTCGGCCATGGAGCCCACTGGGTGACTTTGGGGCACTCACAGACTCTCAGCCCAGCCTACCTCGCAGGGTTGTTGTTGTGGAGATAAGATGGAGGAGCAGAATGATGCAAGCTGCCTTGAGCCCTTGGTAGGAAAAAGGCAGGATATAAATGGAGAAAGAGAGAAAGAGAGGGAGGGAGGGAGGGAGGAAGGAAGGAAGGAAGGAAGGAAGGAGTTTCTCAAGCTTCATTTCTCATCTTTGGATTCCTGTTAAATTTAGGAGCTCCTGCCAAATATTTCATATGAAACTTGCATGTCTTCTTGGTCATGCTTCTCAAGAGATCACAACAGCCACTTTTCCGTGCTCTTCTTTAGTACATCGTTCTGCAAATATTTTTGTAGCGTAGTTTTAAACCGTCCCCAAACCAGAGTTCTCTTATCTACCTATCTATCTATCTATCTATCTATCTATCTATCTAAAATATTTATATGCTGTTCTGTTGCAAAAAACCTCAGGACGGCTTACAACATAAAATATGACATAAATAAATTCCCGACCCACACTGGCTGCAGTTAAAAACATAGAAAAGACAATATTAAAACTTGACAATATTAAAATTAATATATTGCTGGAATAAAAAGGTCTTAACCTGGCACCAACAAACAAATAATGACGACGCCAGGCAGACCCCTCTGGGGAGCACATTCCATAGGTGGGGCTCCATAGTTTCAATGCCATCCATCTTTCCTTGTCAATTCTGCCTTATGTCTTCGGAGCTCTGCCCCGAATCCCTGGTTTCCCCTGTCTGTGATGTCAGAACAGAATGCAGTCCTCCAAGTGAAAATACGAGCAATTCTGCAATGAGAAGTTCTGTGGCTTCTCAAAGCGTTGCAGGAAGATGCTGAAGTGGTATTAGCTTCATTTGACGCAGCATCACGTTGTGAGCTTCTGTGGAGTTTCTTGTTCTGCATCAGGTCACCTTTCTTGGACTGTGTTATATTTATATTCGTGCGCTGTTTTATTTTGGGTATCTAACCCATTGTGTCCATGACGGGCCAAGCTAGAGTGCATTGAAAACATCATAAAGCACTTCATTAAAAGGACTCCTAGCTGAACCGAATCACCCATTTGTAAGAGACTTTCTGGCCCTGTAGGAATATTGGTCAAAGGAAGTTCCCAGGACGGTAGGAAAAAAACCCTGCTTTCTTCATGGGCCGATTGTACAATTGAATAAGGTAATGTAAAAAATACTTTGCAGTAGTTGTATTAAAATGCTTTATTCACCCATCCTCTTGTCAATTTCAGAATGGTAACTAATGCTGAAGACCTCCAAGGGGGTTTCTGACTTCCTCTCCCCATGTAAAGTATGCTGAGAACTTTTCCAGTGGTGTAAGTATTGCCTCGACCATTTTTTTGGAACATATGTAAACATTTTAAGTTTTAAAAATGTTCTAGGAGTCAGCAGACTGGGGGTGGGATGCCTCCTTATCTTTTGGCATTTGCTAGATGGTTAAAAGAGGAGCACTGGGTCCTTTCTTGGTTTCATTTCACTGAGATTGGTTGCTTGTTTACTTCATGGCTGTAACTGCTAACTTTTGCAAAACTGTGGAGCTCTTTGCCATTCGAAGCTTTATTGCTAGTTTCTGTAGGAATGTTAATATGAAATATGCTTTAACGGACAACTTGTCTGGTTGTCATGAATACTGGCATTTTACGGGTGCCTTGGAAGAAAGTGAGTTACCCAAGAAATGGATGGCTCAGAAGGGATTTACACCAAGGCTCAGAAGGGATTTGAATCATATAGCGGGGCTGCATGGAGAGATCAACAGCGCTCTGGCCTGAAATCTTTGATAAGCCCGGAGCTTTCCTAGAGGGCGCTGGGGAAATCCCAGTTCTCCCAGTGCCATTCCCTCTTTGCCCAGCTGCGAGTGGTCAACCGGTTTGCCCAGGAAGCTGAAGCAGAAATGAAGCAGGAGGGCAGATTTAGCTCTGGTTAGGCTGTTCTTCCCGCACCTGGTACCTGCAGATGGCTGAGCTAGAAGGCCAAGCTGATGGGGGGGATAGTGGGAACTGCAGTCCAACACGTCTGGGAGACACCACGCAAGGGAAGGCAGGACGCTGCCAACGCTCCTGGGGTACGTGAAATTCCGTCCCAGGGTCTTTTCTCTCCGCAGCTCTGGCCAGGGCTGCATTTTAGGGAACTGTGCTGAGAGCAGGCTGGAGGCGAGGGGCTTCTTCGACGGAGCTCCTTCATGTTGAGATTGGAGCCCAAGGGAAGGTGTTCTTTATCGGCTGATCCACAGGGGCAGAATACCTGCTTCCGGTCATTTCTACCCGACCTGGCCAGTCCAGAGGCTTCATGGAACCAGTCACAGGGACCCGTGTCCCATGGTGCTTTCCCCTTCGACGGCAGAAGGGGACGCCATGGTCTGAATGCAGGTCCTGTTCCAGCAGTGGGGTCCGGAACCCCTTCAGAGCTCCCCAGGCCCGCAAGTTCAAGACCTCATCCTCCTTACGTAGTTGATTTTTGCTAGCACAGTCTTCAAGCAGGGTAAAGAGACCGGATGGGTGCAGAGGCAGAAGGACTCAATGGGCAATTTCCATGTGACTAAAACATACCATCTTCGTATTTCAATCTCACCTTTTGGGCCTTGTTCCTGATTGCTTTATCTTCACAACAGCCCTGTGAACGTCATTAGCCCGAGAGCCCAGCGAGCTTCAGGGCCGACTAGGGACTACAACCTGGATCCTCCCAGTCCAAGTCCAGTATCCTAGCCCTGACACCACAGTGGTTAATACATCTCCTTGTTAGTGGAGAAGTCACAGCTCTTGTATTTCGTCCTGCTTCTGGCTCTTAGGAAGTCACGCTTTGTCCACCTAACACAGTTCTCTTGGATCCGTCTGGTAAGAATTCTTTCCAGTCTCCTGCACGGACTTTCCCATCACCCATGCAGTCCATAATTCACCAAGCAGGGGGGCGGGGAGAGCAGGAGCACAGCGTACAGCATGGCGTGTGTCCCAGGTGAGCAAAGAGTGTTTCCGAGGGAACACCCCAGGGCTGAGTGACAGCCACACAGACAAGCCTTTTCCAGTTAAGTGAAGCCAAAAGGATCCTGAAGGGGTCGAGACAAGAGCTTGTGAATCGTGTTTTCATATTCTTCCGTCTTCTTCTGCTTCTTCTTATTTTCATTTCTCTCAAAATATATTCCATGAAACACTTGGACAACCCATGGACAACCCAGATTCAGGCTGGACACCAGGAAAAGCTTCCTCACTGTCAGAGCAACACAGCAGTGGGACCAGCTGCCTGGAGAGGTGGGGGGCTCTCCCACACTGGAGACATTCAGGGCGAAACTGGGCAGCCCTCTGAGTGGGATGGTGTGAACTGGTGTCCTGCACCAGCAGGGGGTGGACTCGATGGCCTTCATGGCCCCTTCCAACTCTGCTATTCTATGATTCTATGAAATAGCACACCCAGTAGATTAGGGATGGGCACCTTGTGGTCCTGCAAGCGTTGCTTGACCTCAGTGGCCATCAGTCCCAGCTAGTCCTGCCAACAGTTAGGGAAGATGGGAGTTGTAGTCCAACAGTATCTGGAGAACCGCAGTCTCATAGAATCCTGGAATACGGGGTCCAGCCCCTGCTTAGCGCTGGGCTGCAAGTTCAAGAATGTCCAACTGTCTCTTGCGTCCCTCCAGGATGAGAAGGCTCACAAGCTCCCTGGGTCCTCGGTGCCATTGCTGCACTGCTCTAACCCGAAGGAAGTTTTTCCTGGTGCCCCCCCTCTCCATTTTTGCAGTAGGTTAACTTTTTCCACAAGACCTCCTCCCTCATGCTCGCTCCCCTCCCGTTTTCTCGGTGTGTCTGTCTGAAACGTGCGCTCCCCTCTCTCTGGGTCTGTGCATTCCACGACTTTACTTAAGCACGAAGTTGCTATCTGGGAGCAGGGGTCGATGTCTAGCCATTTTTAAAAGCCGCAAACAAAAACCCGGGAAGCAAAGTGCGCAGGGAGGCTCTCACAAGCCTGGCAGAACCAGCTGCCACTGACCAGCTGCCTTGTCCTCTCCCCTCCTGGAAAGACAGTCCAGGGAATTGGAGAGCTCCAGTTCTGCCTCTCAGCAAACAGGACACCGATGCTCACAGTTGCCCCTAAACTGTGCCCAGAGGTGCCGTTGTAGAAGGCATGCAGGGGCAGAGATGTGGCCACGTTCCCGCCTCTTCCTGTTTATCCAGCCGACTGCAAAACTTGCTCCTTCTTCGGTGCAACCCCATGGAACAAAAACCTCATTGATGTTGAGAGTGGGGCAATCACAGAGTGGAAATCCAGGGTTGGCCCCGAATTGGAGGCCTGCTGCTTGCCACCCCTGCGACTGCGCCCCTGCTCTTTACTCCCAGTGTCCCCTCCACATCACGGCTCAGAAGCCAACGGCAGCACCTGGTCCAGGTTTTCAGAAGTTGCTGGGACAGGGCAGAGCCGGATACCCTTCCTTCACGTCAGGGGAAGAGCCAGAGAAAAATATTGGCTCTGTCTGAATCTGGTGATTGTGTCAATATTCTGCCTACTTCTAGGTAGCAAAGCTCCACAGTGAAGCTCAGGGAACCAGGGTTCAATTTGGATGCCAGGAAGTATGTCCTAGTGGTGAGGACCCCGAGGGTATGGAATGGACTTCCATGGGAGGTGCTTGAGGCCCCATCGGTGAGGGTGTTCAAGGACAGGCTGGACATGCACATGGTGGGCATGTCATGAGCGGCGCCAGCTGGAGCTGGGGGGTCAGACTAGATGGCCCAGGATGCCCCTTCTGACTCGCTCTGTTTCTATGTTTCTATGTTGAATGTTAGTGAACATTCCGTAGCGTTGCAGCATCTTGCTGCTTGCAGGTGACTTACAGCTATTTTTAATTTTATTTTTAGTATTGTATATTTGAGGTAATAATTACAGCTGCAACCCAATTAAAGGAATTTTGATTAAATCAATCATCATATGAGCTTTAGTCACTTTAATTGATCTAGCAATTAAATCTGCGTATGGATAAAAACATTGTTTATGAAGCGTGAGCATTTAATTTCTTGTTTTTAGATGACAGTCACGAGGAAAGTTCATTTTGGAGGCTTTCCTCCTCTGTGTGGGAGAGGGGAGAATGTTTCTTGAGCCATCGCTGGTACTTTAACAGGGGGAAACTTTTCCGTTGCTCAAGCGAGCGATTCTAAGGTGCCATTGAGTATTTTGGATTTCCAGATCCAAGACTGGAGACAGCACTTTGATCTGAGTGATCTATCTCAGAGTATTCACCTCCCCTGCAAGGCTGGTGCAGAAGGAACCTCTCCGGTTGCTCTCCAAGGTTGGGATGCAACCTCAGAGAAGGTGGCATGTTTTGTAAGCCGCCCCGAGGCTTCGGCGAATGGGGCGGCATAGACATTTTTAAATGAATGAATGAATGAATGAATGAATGGGGGCATTTGGGGGGGGTATCCTGAAGTTTCTCTAGCCTCCCCCCCACCCAATGCTGCAGCCAATCGGGTCAAAAAACCCATCCAGGATGGGAAGACCCAAAGGTGAAGTTGCCCACTTCACATTGGATGACCACAAGCCTCCAAATCTGCAAGATCTTTGGGCATCGTGATAGGACTGTGTCCTAGTTTTTAAAAAAGGATTCATTTGCCCCATGGAAAGATTAAATATAACACTCCCAGTATTAACGATTGTACCTGGCTGCTGTGCGTACCCTTGCCTAACGGAGGATACATCATCAAGGAACGTTCCTCTCTGGCTAAACTGAAGCATCGTGTCATGTCCTGGTTAAGGGACATTAACTGCGGGTTTGATGCACTGTCGGAACTGGGAAAGCATGACTTGAGATTAGCAGCAAATCAGATACCATGATTTGAAGTAGGTTTGCCAAGCATAGTTACTAACCATTGACGAATGGGCACAGCCATAGTTTCTCCTCCAGATGATGCGTCACTGTGGAAATGCAGCCTTGCCAGGAAAAGCAAAGCAACAGAGCACTCCAAATTTTGACTTGGATGGGAAAGCCAACCAAAGCCCCCCCGAGCCTCGTTTTGTCTGCCGTACAGCTTAGAAGCTCAAACAGGGGTATGCCGTTAGCACCGTCTGCGTTGAACCTCTATCCGGAATAGCAAGTTCTTGGAGCTTTGCTTGCGTTTGGTCGTTGAAGGACTTGAGGACAGTTGCAAGAATAATGTCTTGCTATTCCAGACTTGGCCTGGGTTGTATAAGTTGTGCGGCGGTGAGCATTTGATTATGCTGGATTTATTTTCAGACGTCTCGGCCTGTTCTTATTAACTGTCATCGCTTTGATCGAAAGTGCGCAGCCGATTTCTGCATTTGTAGTGCCCTGCTTTGCATTCCTAAACAGAAGCGGGAGAGT